CTATGTTCTTAAGGCCCTTCCAGCATTAAATGTCCTGTGTCTCCTTCAGTCTGCCTGTGGGTGCACATTAACAGACAAACATGCACACACGTACCCCAAGCTTCATATGAACACACCAGCAGGCATCCTGGTGAGTGTGTGAACCTTTCCCTTTGCTGTCACTTGGCTCACAGTAGTTCTCAAAAGGAACTAAATGATGTACAGGTTTGGCTGTCTTGTACATACAAAGATGACTATAAATTCTTAATCAAGGGGTTATTTCGAGTCATTTTCTAAAAGCTATTTTTGTAACAGTAGTGAGAGGATTTTCTCCAAATCCCTATTCTCCTTATCATATGCTTTCTTTTATATTGGTTTTGTAATAACACCCTGTATAGCTAAGGGTGTTCAGTCTGTGGCCAAATGACAGATCATAGCTAAGTCATGTGAGTTTAAGGTATTGAAGTTATTCCTTTTTTAAAAAAAAAATTATGAGGGAGTGGATGTGAGAAATTACTTAAATATATGAAATTTTCTCCCATAAAGGAAACCTTGTTTGCATATACATATGCTCAAATTGAATGAAAATGTGCTACAGGCAATGTGAAAGTAATAATAATTAATTCCTTGCCTATTGAGAACTCAGTGTTAGCTCATTGGGATGGAACTATTTTTTCGTAATTATGAATCAGTAAATTATTTTTATTAACTTAATATTTTAACCCAGATGCCATAAGACACAGTAAGTAACCTATATAGGAGAAATGTTGCCTCAGCACTTAACTATAAATTTTAAATTGGATGGTTCAAAAGAGAAATCTCAATGGGACTATAGAGTCTTTTGAAAAATTACGTTTGGAAAGTTGGGTTATATGTCAAAATAAGGGCATAGCCTTGGCCCTGATGGACCAGACCACCATGCTTTGTTAACAGAGTAAGTTACGTCTTTAGTTTTATAAGCACATTTTACAGAATCCAAACCATTGCCTCAGGGTGCTTTTGAATGAAATATTGACTTTACAGAAGTGTACATTTGCCTTTCTGGTAAATATATCTTGTTGTAAGAGCCTTCAGATTCATTTCCTTTGTATTGCTGGATGTTATATTTTGCAAGTCTTTTATAATTCTTTTAATTTCCCCTGTGTGTTTGGTTATTTCTCCCTTTCTTAGTCCTTGCATTTCATGTTTTAGTGTTTCCTTCCTTTTCTGTCTATGCTATTAGCTAATTCTTTATTTTATTGTCTTTCTTTTGTTTTATGACATCTTAATTTATATTTCCATTTTAATCAATTCCTTTCTTCTGCTTAGTTGATTTTGCTCTTTTGGTTACTCCCTGAGTTGGATAATCAGTTCATTTCTTCTCATTCTTGCCTGTTTAATATTGATAAATTTTTTAGATCATGAATCTCATAGGTTTTGATATGTAGGTTGCATATCATTGTTAGTATTCTGTACTTTTACCTAAGAGTTGCTTCCAAGAGAAGTGTTTGTTTCTTTGTTTATAACTTTCCACTGATAGGTTTCTTTGCTTTTTAGTTTGGTAATTAATTTGTGGTTTTTTGAAATGTAATTAGAGTATATTTTTAGTGTTTGGAATTTGCTGTGAAATTTGTTTGTCACCTACAATGTAACCAACTTTTGTGAACATTCATGGCCTTTAGAAGGTAGATTTATTTTCTACTTACAAGGTTTAGAGTTCAAAGAACATTGAGTACATTTGCCTTATTAATTATGTTATTAAGTATTTTATATGCCATTTAAAAATCTAATCTATCATAAGCTTAAGGGTGTTTCTAGTATTTTCCTATTTTTATACAATGCAAATTTTGCTTTATGAATACTGATTCTATGTTATTTGTTGTTGTTGTTGTTGTGTGCCGTTGAGTCTGCCCCGACTCATAGCGACCCCTCCTTGGGTTGCCGAGGCAGTATCACTATGGAAGTAGATTGCCCAGCCTTCCCTCCGAGGAGTGGCTGGTGGGTTTGAACTGCCAGCCTTCTGGTTAGCAGATAAGTGCCTTAGACACTATGCTACCAGAGCTCCTCTATGTTATTTGGTCCATATATATTCTAACTGCTAGATCTTCAAAGTTT